AAAAAGTTTCATCACTGTCATTTCATTAATAATATTGTCTGAAAAAAAGTACTTAACATGGATCAAAAAATGTTTACTCGATACAATATCAGCTGAGCCTGTAAAAGCAAATAATCCTTCTAAAGAGAATAGTTACATAATACATAAGACAATAAATTAGCTAAATAATAGGCAACCTTATCACTCATTAATGATTTAATAAGAATATTAACAACAATGCATATGCTCAGTAAACAAACGAAATTACATAATAACTCGAGCAAATTTGCATCCCAACTGACCTTCCGGGGTCTAGCGATGTCACGCACATCTTACATACCCCGCCACCGCTTCGCCCCTTTTGTAACGAGCGATTGCAATAGACACTATTGGGAAAGTATCCGTTTATTAAACGGTTACTAACAATAACTTCAAATTCATGATCGAATAATATTAGGGCTTAAACCTTTACAAAAGTAGAAAAAACAAGAGAAAATGTTAAAAGACAATAGCATAGCTGTAATTATTATATTCAAAGTTTTGCCGCCTGCAATGAGGCATTACTGATAAAAGTCGCTTGCGTTTTTACACGAAAAATCGTGCAAGAGTTATTACCCAAAGGAAAGAATAGACACGAGCGGCAGATTGATTTAACACGTTTATTCTGGTGAACTCAAATAAACTAATAATCGGCAATAAGCGCATGTTTTATTACTCATGTGATATGTAAATATTTTTTTCCGAACAATAAAGGAATATTGTGCTATAAAAGGCTTATTCGAAGTCTAAAATATTCAAAAAAAATATACTTAGGTGTATAATAGGCTAAGCAAACGAAAAATACGGAAAAAAAAATTTTCGGTAAGGTTTGCACGTTTATTCGTGGGATCGATATATATATATATATATATATATATATATATATATATATATATATATATATATATATATATATATATACAAGAATTGTTCGTATAAAGGTATAGGATTTATACGCTCATCCAGCGTACGTAGGTAATTTTTTCGCTATATTGATTCTTCTCTTATTGACTTATGACTCTTCTAAGGCCTAGATACTATAAAAAAAGCGATAGTCGTTAACAAATTAAAGTGACAGTAGAGCCACGCTACACCTATATTACGATTGCAGAACTAATGAGTCACCTCGACCGAGAAAGGACCACGCTCGCACGGAATACCAGCGTAAAACAGTCATTTAATGCTGCTGTTTCGTATAGTGAGTGTAGATAACCGGAAATCCGTTTTACTGAGGTATTCTATCCTAACCCTCAGAGGTGACAACATAACTACATTTAAATACTTAATAAGATATAGATGAAGGTGTCTATGAGCTACAGCATCCACTTACCATCTGGTGGATATGTTTGACTGTTACTTCAGTTTTAAAGAAAAAACGTGCACATAATAGACTTTAGAGGTGCAGATTAACTCTAATAGATTCAAATATTTGTAATAATGAAAGAAGAAGTAAATACGAAAGGAAAATCAAGCTTAATCGCTAAAAATATCTGAGTATATTTATTATGTATAAATAAAAATATAAATAAAAATAATAAAATCCTAAAAGTTTATCTCATTATGTCTAAAACCTTTTTTATAAAAGTCGGTGCTTGACTAGAATCCCAACTGATGGTAAGGCCCAAATGGTAAATGGCACTGTTTTTAAAATTTAATTTTTCAAATTAAATCGATTTATTGTCACATTATTTAAAGCTAATATAATCGTAGCGCCACGAGGCATTCCAGCGCTGAGAGGTTACAATGAACCTGTAGCCTTCTTCGTTTAAAGTTAGATGTTAAGATCCGTAGTAGCTCAGAGGCTAATCTATCGCTGTAAATTTCACAGTACCTGAGCAACCCGGGTTGGATCCCCGACGGCACCAATGAAATTTTTAATTGCAATTTTAAGTGCTGATTTATCACGTGCTCGGCGGTGGAGGATTTTCTTTGTATTTTTTTCCCATTAATCAGTGCTTGACTAAAACCCCCACCTAATGGCAACTTGTTCCTAGTGATAAAGTTAAAGTTACAGCTTATATACGTCCCACTGCTGGGCACAGGCTGTTTCTCATTTATGAGAGGGTTTCAGAGCTAGGAAATGTCTGCCGCGCTGCCGTATTGTGTTTTGGCGAACTTCACATGTCTTCGAAATATTTTATTTTCTTGCTTCTCAGACATACAACTTTTGTCTCTATGTTTTCTATTACCACCGGTCACGAAGTGGATGAGAACTACTTGATTGATTTTAGGGTTTTAGAGTTTTGCTCGCGTACTTTAACGTTTTAATGACGAGCGGAAATACCTTATAATAAAAAGTAAATAACTTAAGAAAAGTCCTCTCTAAATCATGGTGTACATTTAAAGTACAATGCAATTTCCACGATAAACGTTAGGATTTTTATATATATATTTATTTTTATTTTGTGATAGCAAAATATCTAAATGCCTTGTTGTTATTTTACCTTCAATTTTGGATCTGCCGCGCTGCATGCGAGGGGATGTTATTTTATACCCTATGCAGCTTTGTCTAACAAGAGGCGGATAAAGTTCATCCCCTACTAACTATCAAAATGCCGATAGATACGTGGGTGGTATGAAAAATTTCCAACCTAACAAAGATACAAGGCATTTTTATATTTTTTTCTAAATAGTCTCCTTGAAAGTCCACACACTTCTACCAGCGATAATCCTATTTCTCTAAATCCGAAAAGTATTCGGAGCTTTTCTCTGCAAAATAATTGTTTACGAAGGTGATTGCCTCCTCATTTGGCTGAAATCTTTATTCTCCGAGCGCAGGTTTTAGATGAGGGAACAAAAAGGAGTCGCTTGGGGCTAGATCTATTGAGTAAGGCGGATGGTCAAGCAGTTCAAATCGTAATTCGTGGATTTTCACCAAGTCAATCGCTGATGTGTGAGACGGCGCGTTGTTATGGTGAAACAGGTTTTAATTTTTCTGTAAATGTGGCCGTTTTTCCGCAATTTCTGCCTTCAGTTTGTCAAGTAATGACTATAGTATTCTCATGGTATGGTTTTTCCTTTTTGAAGATTATCGATTAAGATAACTCCACGATTATCCCAAAAGACAATCGCCATCACTTTCTCAGCCTTTGCAGTCGGAAAATTGCACCAACAGTGTGTTGGAAATGTTCATTCGAACTCGTTTTTGGTACAACGTGTGCAAACGCGAAACCCAATGCGTTGACAGCTTCCTCATGTCTTGATTTCATATGTGCCAAACACGTTTTCCGGATATTTTCATAGCTTCTACTATCTCCCTCACTTTAATTCGATGTTATCGTCAGTAGTTTTCCCTGTGTTAAATGATGGTGCAGAGTCTCCATACACAGAGTCCAACTCATCTTTGATTTGCGTAGGCGTTGCCTTTAAAAAACAAAAAAATTATGTCAGGTCGATACTCAATTTTTTCCATTTTCACAAAAACACTCACATCGACTCACTCAAACGACTGACCAATAAAAACTACATTTCTAAAATGACTGAAATTTAGCTGTCAAAAGATTCACAACTACATTCACTAGCTTTTATTAACGAGTGCTGCCATCTTCACGTTGAGGTCGGAAACATTTTGTAACACTCTGGTTTATCTGTCTTGCAACTACATGTCATTGTAGAAATCCTACATGGAGAAATTAATCATTGTAAGAAATTGGAAGATCAAACAGATAAGCAAACGAAATTGCTGTGTGATTCCTTCTTTGATCAAACGAGAAAATTGTCAAGATTGGCGTTTTTTTTTTGGGAATGAACCTTCTTTGTTTTATTGTTTTTAAGAGATACCTAGCCTTATTGAACAAATATGTAATTTTCGACTAACCCTAATCCCTGTATGATAATAGGTTTTGTACTGTGTGTAAATTGCGACTTAAGACATAAGCTACCTAGCGTAGCCAGAACGAAAACCGAAATATTTCACATTTTTTTAATGTCAAGTTTTTGGAATTTTTGTACGAATAAATAAATATTAAGACAAAATCCTTCTTTCTTATTTATAATTTTTTTCAATCTTTTTAATCCATCAATGGATACTGGCCTTGTCAATAATATTCCAACTATAACGTATTTCAATAGCTTAAACTAACTATGTTGGAATTTCATCACCATAGCACTGATAATAATACCCTCCACTCCCAATTAGTGAAAGATTTTGGGGTTAACATTTTAGAATGGAAATATTGCTGCATTACAGAGAGTATATTGCCATAGTTGCCACGCTTGGCAGGCGGATTGGAATCCGCAGTTTTTTCTACGCTTTGCGTTATAGACTAAGATATAAGTATATTTGCAGTAGAACTAGAGTAATCGACATAACCCAACGGATAAGTAAGCTGAAATAGTAATGAGCCGACGACATCGCTCGAAGAACCGACAACCTATGGGGAAGAAAGGAACTCGAGTGACAGCCTCGTACCTGTATGTAACTGAAACTAACCAAAACAGGGGAAACAGGTCAAGTACGATATGGTGGTGAGCAAGCTGGACAAGGAGGAGCTCAGCCAAGTTAGTGATCTCATAAGCAATCTAGTGGACCAAGGATGCTACACCGCACTGATGACAAGGCTCCTTAGAGTTTTTCTAGCCAGCTTTGAGGCCTAGTTTAACAAACTCGTGTCGGAGATGGAATTAGAGCAGCAGCGACCATCTCAGCTGCTGGACAAGATGAATGGGCCAAGAGAACTTCGGCGCCGAAGGCGACACGTTCAAGAATTTGTGGCTATGTGTGGCATGGGTTCGCGCGATCTTGGCCACCATCAGAGCAGAGACGAAACTAAACGACCTCACTGAGATAGCCGACAAAGTGATGAACAATTTATGCAACGGGAAGCTGTTGGCCGCGAACACCGGCTCAGCCAGCAACTCATCGTCGACCCCAACCGTGGCAGAGGTGAACGTCGAGCTGTTGACCTAGATAAAGACCGTGGCAATGGAGCTTAAGACACTGCGCAGTGAGGTAAACGCGATCAACAACCGCTGTCATAGTAATGGTGGCAGTGGTGGGCGATGTATGTGTAACCGTTCCCGTTCCAGGTACCGTACACCGCGACGGACGCCCCGCAGTGAAGATTAGTTGTGCCGCTACCACTTCCGGTACTGCAAGGCATCATGATGATGCGAATCTCCTTGCAATTGGAAGAAGACTAACAACGCCAACAAGCTGGGAAACTGAAGAGGGTGCAGCCTGATGCGATGGTAGCATGCATCAACTCTACAGAAAACCATCGCTTGTGCGTCACGGGAAACTGAAAATGGTACGTATTTTCGTAAAGATCAAATGGTGCAAATGTGTCGGTCATACCGGTGACTAAAATTAACAAAAAATATCGTAATCAGGTCAAAAGTAATTATAAATTATTTGCTGCAAATGGCACGGAAATAAATACATATCGTGTCTTAACATTAGAGCTAAATTTAGGGCTACGACGCAGTTTTAAAAGACCATTCATTATTTGTGACGTAAGTAAACAATAATAGGCGCTGATTTTTTAAAAACGCACCGATTATTGGTAGACTTACATAACAGGAAATAAGTAGATTACGTAAAAAAATTATGTGCTATAGGAACCATCGTAAGCTATAGTGAGCCAACTATAAAAAGCATTTAGGAATCGCAACCGTTTCGTGACTTATTGGAGGAATTTTTTGATATTACAAAGCCCGACTCATTTAAAGAAACGCCACCAACTCACAAAGTTAGGCGTCACATAGATACCAAAGAACCGCCGGTCTATGCCAAACCGCGACTTTTAGCGCCGGGAAAATACCAAAAGGTTAGAATCATAAAATAAAAAAGGTTAGAGAATTTTGTCATATGCAGAAATTAGTAGGTATTTGTAGACCATATTAAAGATATAATAGGGTCAGAGGGAAAAAGTCAGAACAAAAAGAACCTCCATTTTAGTTGAAACTGGCTCAGTGCTACTGAAAACAGTCAATAAAAATGGGTGAATCTTTCAACATACGAAATAAAACCAAACTGTGCGCAAAGCACGTTGGTATGAAGTCGCACGCGGATACACCGGTTTTTCTTTCAGAGAATATGACACCAAAGGCTTCCCAGCTTCTTGATCTTGCCAAAGGCTATACATTTGTGTGGATATCTTACGGCAAAATTTATGTGCGGAAAGGTGAACAATCGCCAATTATCCTGATTAAAACGGAACAACAGGTACATAGATTACTTTTAGAACAAGACTGACTATATTACAACCCATTTTTACTCCAAGTGTTTCTGATCTCTTCTCTAATATAACCTTAGTGTTTTTTATTTTTGCATTTTGTATATGGCTTAACATTATGTACTGTTATACCTTATTGTGCTATCTGATAGCTTACTTACTTACTTATTTATCTTCACGCACAATCCCTAACGGGGTAGCCAGAGAGAACAGATCGCCAAGTGTCATTACATACCTCTTTCGCTTCTTTCAGGTTCATTAACTTCTTCATACATGCACGTCTAGGTATCCGAGTACTCTTGACCTTCCCCTCTTCGAGCAATTTGCTCACATGGTCTTCGAAAGTTAGTCTCGGTCTACCTCGACACCTTTTAATATTTACTTTCACTCTATATATTTTCTTCACCATTCGGTCTTCACTCATTCGCTCAACGTGCCCAAACCATTGGAGTACGCCCCTATCAATTTTTGTGATAAGGTCATCTTTCAATCCTGCCATATTGCGAATCTCTTCGTTTCGCTTTCGATCGGCTATGGTAACGCCACACATTTTACGAAGAGATCGCATCTCCACTGCATTCAACTTGCTTTTATGCTTCTTCTGGCATACCCAGGTTTCGCTGCCATATAACAAAGTCGGTACCAACACTGCGTTATGTATTGCAACGCGTGCACTCTTCACCACGCCTTGCCTTTTGACTAATGCATTCAGGGCACCATTGACTTTGTTTCCGGCAGTGCTATCTGATGTCTATCTTTATACATATAGAACTTATGGAAGTTGTTAAAAACTTCTACCAAACACTACACACTTTTTTATACACACGCACACATACTCGCATACACTTTAGACACTGACACTCTCAAACATACATAATTACGTCTGTTAAAAATACACATGACAAAATCGTACAAAAACTTGCCCCCAAAATACAATTCTCACTAATATACATATGTCTTCACATCTTCACTCTTTACATAAGATACTTACTTAAATTATTCATGAAAGTAATTGAATAATACTTCTCCATTATACCCCTTTTTAATATCAACTTACTTACAGTCAAGCAAATTTTATTTATGATTTTAATTATCACTACTACTAGATTATTGGTATGTTTCAATATGGTTGAATTGTTGTAAACGCTTCAAGAATAAGACAATATTAAAATAGCAAAGGTAATGGAGTGCGATGTCTCTGATCTTGAGAGACACATACAAATTAATAAAAATGACTTTACCATAATATCTCAAAATATTGTTAGTATCTACAAAAAATTTAGGGATATTACACGTACTCTGGGAAACTTATCTTTTGAAATTGATATTGTCACCTTCACGGAATGTAGATTGAACTATAAACCTCTCCCACAATTAAACAACTATGAAGTATATTGTACATCGTCCCAACTAAACCAAAGTGACGGAGTGGTTGTATATATAAAAAAAGCTTAAAACACAAAGTCAAGGAAGTAATTTTGCATCACACTTCATGTCTCCAGATTCATGTTTTGAATAATACAGTATCATGTATTCACAGATCACCATCGAACCCAAACCCTACAAACTTCATCAATACGCTAAACTCTCATAGAGACTCTTCCCTCCCATAGGAGCATTATAATAACAGGTGATATCAACATAAATATTCGAACAAAACCCAATAAACATCTGAATGTGTACAAACCAGAATGCAATATCTGGACATGCTTGCTAACCATAACATCTTAACTGGACACACATTACCTACTAGGCAGCAGGGCTGCTTTGACCATTTTATGTTAAAAATAAATAATATTAAATACATATCAACTATAGCGATTCTGCTAACAACAACTACGGATCATTTTACAACTTTTCTAGCAATCTCAAAAATAAAAATAACTTAACTAAAGATAATAGAACTAAAACCACTACAAATTTTAATGCTGCTCTAAAATATTTACAAAATAGTAATCTATCTGATATTTTATTTAGTGATGACCCAAAGACTGTAATTAACTATCTAATAGAAAGAATTATAGAAAGCCTAAGGATGAATACTAAGGTGACACGTATACCATGCAGCAAAAGAATTACACAGCCTTGGATATCTATAGGAATTTAAAACACGCCAACAATATGAATTATTAATATATTGAAGTAAAATCTATCTTATTTTAAGAGGCTGCTTCAGTCCACAGGCATAAATCGTTGACGGAAAAAAATCGTTAAATCGGCGGAACCGTCAGAACGGGTTTGTAACAAACGAGCCGAGCAAAGTGTTTTTAACGCGTGAAAACTGAACTATATTTTAATTACTGTTCTGCACATATAAGTATCTTAAAAACAATTCTAGCGACATAGAAAATTATTCTACCACTTAATTAGAAAGTAGCTCATTTGCCCGCAATGTGGGTCATAAATCTTGTGCCCGCACACTGACATGCAATTATTGTCGCCGCTCGTCCGCAAAACGACGTTAATGTACACTGATTTCTACATTGTACGTTATTTACCTAAAAACATTAATTTTACTTCATGCTACATAGAAGATAACTATATCAAAATCTCATTTTACTTAAAATTTACTTAGTGTATAATTTTTCATTAAAAAGTACAATTAACATCAAACTTTTATTGATTTTCAGAAGGAAAGATGAGAGATTATCGGATACATTAAAGGGCTATTGAAGGCAGTTTTTCTTCTTCTTTATTATCAAGTTAAATTCTACTGCTGGACGTGGGCTTCTACTATTATAGGTAGAACTTGATTTTATCGTCACAATTGGTAAGCAGCGGTTAAAGCAAATTTGTAGAAGTCGCAGTACAAGACGTCTGGCACCTTTGAGTTACTATCAGCCCCTTGTCTAGATATTTTACGTTATACTACTATCTATTGGAAGACATAAAACTTTCTAGCATTTCCGTAGTTGCCTTATGGTACAAAATGGTGTAATGTATTCCGGCAATGCATGCTGTCCGACATGTCCATAAAAATCGACATCAATCCTAAGTTAAAAACAAAAATGCAGCTGCGTTGTCACTCCTGAAGCCTGAAATGGAAAGCCTCGTTTCTAGTAAAAAGGGTTTTTCCATTCTCTATACTTATCATACGAAACACAGCAGCATTACGCTTTTGTTTTACGCTGTTATTCTTTGAATGACTTTGTTGAAAAATTTTATTTTGCTTATACAAATACCAATAAACTAAAAGTTATATCAAAATGTGCAGTAACGGGGCTTAAATTCAATTCACATTAAAAAAATTGATATATATATATATATATATATATATATATATATATATATATATATATATATATATATATATATATATATATAATGACAGACATGAGAGCACATGTTAAATGAAATAATAATTGAAACAACGTATCGTACAAAATAACTACCCTGGAAATATTACTCACTTCACTGAAAAGTATGTTCGCAATGAAAAATCCAATCAACTTCACAAGAGAACTTTTTAATGAAACTTCGCTACACATCGGATACTTGTTGCCCTTCTATTTACGAGATATTTAAGCAAAAAGTTTTGAAATCTAAATTTAAATTACTTACGGAGTTACATTTCTTTTATGATTTTTTTTTATAAATGGAAATGCTTGGAGATATGTCAAAGTATTTTTTCTAATAATTTCTAGTATGATATACGATTTTATTTGAATTAATTATCTTTCTGGGATAAATGTTACGATTATCGTTAAAAATATAAAAAATAGCCGGTTTCACTTGTCTGGCCGTGACAGAAATTCGGTCTGGAGGATATTATGTGATCAATCCAAATAACAGCAAAGGAAACTTATAAGCTGAAGATTACAGTTTGAAACAACTGAGATACTCAAAGTCAAAAGCATATCTAATCTTACCTCTCTGAGGCAATTTTAGAAATCCCAGGCATGCGGCATAGTGTAATAACGGAAATTCTCCACAAAGGCACACCATCACGTCTTATCTTGCTTATCCGAACAGCTATTAGCTACATTTAATTGTCAAAGTTGTAAGAC